AATAAAAGAAAAGGGTTTTTGGCCAAGGAAGGTTTTAACGAGGCACACCTCAGAAATAAATCAACAAAGCAACTCCATTCCCATACATTTTCGGTATTGGCACATTAACCATGACGACTTTCCAAGGTCGAGTTCGAACCTTGATGTTAAAGTCAGGTTCGAACCTTCAAATACAAATTACGTTGCCAAGGTCGAATCCGAACCTTGATGCCAAGGTCGAGTTCGAACCTTGAGATCACATTTTCTTAACCAAAGTCGAGTTCGAACCTTGATATGCCAAGGTCGAGTCTGAACCTTGAGATCACATTTTCTTAACCAAGGTCGAGTTCGAACCTTGATATGCCAAGGTCGAGTCCGAACCTTGAGATCACATTTTCTTAACCAAGGTCGAGTTCGAACCTTGATATGCCAAGGTCGAGTCCGAACCTTGAGATCACATCTACTTAACAAGGTCGAATTTGAACCTTCAAACAACAAATTTGGGAACTCCTCAGAAGCCCCTTTGCTCTTACATCACTCGGTGCTTGGGGGGCAAGTGTACTGGCCAGCCGAGTTGCCGACTTGTCCCTCACCAATCTGCTGACTCAGTCAAAGGTTTACCAGCCTAACCAAGCAGTAAGCTCATTATTGCCGAGCTCCTCAGCCCGACCATGAAACATGGACATCGGAACACCACATTGGCCCAAAGAGGCCACGTAATCAAACAAATAAAAATACAATCTTGTCACCGCGCCGCCCACGCGTTATGGGAACGAGGTGACGGTTATGACACATGGCGTCATGACAAATAGGCGTACGCGAAAAGTCACGACCCCTTGCCAAGGTCGAATCTGAACCTTGATGGCAAGGTCGAATCCGAACCTTGATGCCAAGGTCGAGTTCGAACCTTGAGATCACATTTTCTTAACCAAGGTCGAGTTCGAACCTTAATATGCATAGGTCGAGTCCGAACCTTGAGATCACATTTTCTTAACCAAGGTCGAGTTCGAACCTTGATATGCCAAGGTCGAGTCTGAACCTTGAGATCACATCTACTTAACAAGGTCGAATTTGAACCTTCAAACAACAAATTTGGGAACTCCTCAGAAGCCCCTTTGGTCTTACATCACTCGGTGCTTGGGGGGCAAGTGTACTGGCCAGCCGAGTTGCCGACTTGTCCCTCACCAATCTACTGACTCGGTCAAAGGTTTACCAGCCTAACCAAGCAGTAAACTCATTATTGTCGAGCTCCTCAGCCCGACCATGAAACATGGACATCGAAACACCACATTGGCCCAAAGAGGCCACGTCATCAAACAAATAAAAATACAATCTTGTCACCGCGCCGCCCACGCGTTATGGGAATGAGATGACGGTTATGACACATGGCGTCATGACAAATAGGCGTACGCGAAAAGTCATGACCCCTTGTCGAGCTCGGTCTTAACTCCTCGACCTACGGTCTTCGGAGCTCGGGGGGCTAGTGTACTATCCGTACCGCTATGCCGAGCTCGAGCTCGGCATCACAGCGCGGAGTGACCTCGGACACGCGCTAGGCGACATCGACTCGCTATCCAATTAGGTCATAAACTGATTTCGGGCCCAAGGCCCAACAAATTACCCTAATACACACAAAGGTACGTGCATTACTTATACGAGACTCATATTCACACAAACGCTAACTTTGGCATCGGAGTCTCATTTGCAGGTATCACCCCCATCTTGGAGCATCAACGTACCCGTGAAAGAGGCTCACCGATCTTACCCAGTGGATCATCCCTACCTCAGATTCCCGGTAAGAACACTCGAGATACTTGATTCAAATTACATGGTTACCCCAATTGGTGGCATGAATTAAGGGCAAAGAAATCCATGGATAATGTATGAAGCTCGAGATGAGTGGTAGCCACCTTTTTTATACATTTTTTTCCATCTGGATTAAGTAATCCAAAAGGGCTTTGATCCAAAAAAATGGTCATCCAAATTACCCAATTTAAAACAAGTACATGGATTGTTCAATATAGATCAACCCAAAAAGACAAAAAAAAATTAGGCAAACATATTTAATTGTGATCCAGTGACGAAGGGGAAAAGGTAGAAACAAGGAAGCAAAAATGGGTGATGGTAGAGGCAATTCCAAAAAGGGTAAGAGAAAGGGAGATTTGAAGAGGGAGGCAAACAATCCAAAGATAGAAGCAAAATGGAGATTCAAAGATTGGTTTGGAGAGGGGATGAGGGAAGAAAGGAGATCCAAATTGGAAAAACTGTGGTGAATGAGAAACAAGTGTGTTATATGAAAACAAGGGTATTATTGGGATTTTAAGGTTTGGATGAGTGTGTGGAGGAAGATGCAAGGAGCATGGAGCAAATGCCCCAAAGTATTGATAGGCCCTCAACAACACAATCAACATTCATGAATCACACCAAGCCTAAAATGAATGCTCAAGACTCATTATGGCTAGATGACTATTATTAAGTGGGCCTTATGTTTAGGCATTATCATAATTAAGTCTTTCTCTAGTGTACACCTGAACATATAAGATTATATGACTATTACCTTAGTTTCTTTATAATCTATTGTAACTTACCAATGCACAAGGCAACTTTTGACTACTATTGGCACTAGATGAAGGTACATATGTCCTTGGTTTATGGAAAAGGATAGGTAGGGATTTATGTAGTAGCCCATCAGGTGGGCATATCATGAAAGGGTGGGAGATCCTCTATTATGATTCCATGTAGCTTGTAATAATATCATAAGAGTGCATCACTCGCTCTACAATAAATGTTATATGGTTTTCAAAATGCAACCACCTATCATCCATCTAAGACAGTGTAGTAAGTGCAACTCGAAGGTCAAATAATGATCAAGGAATAGTTTTAATGTATCCATATTAGCACAATACTCCCTATAGAAGGTGAAGGAATATCATGGGACCCCATATAAGGAAAACATAGAATATTGAGATGAGGCGAAACAATCATGTTATCGGTGGTCCTTATAAGGCATCCAACAATCATAATCCACAATGAGCTTATCCAATTGCCTCTAGTATGTAACAACTGATAAAAATGTTCCAACTATCCAATGATTGGATCGTGGATTTTCCTTAGAGTAAGTAGTAGCTTGATCCCTCAAACCAATTGAAGGGAAATGCTCATAGATCCAAGTTTGTAACAACTTAATACATTAAATTTATGAATACAATATTAACTAACAAAATTTAGAAATAGTTATTTACTTGAAACAAGGTCACATAACCAACCAGTTGCTTGGTGTTAGCCTTACGATCGTTAGACAGATGGTCATACAAGTATGTCAATGCAACTGCATAAAACATTTAACCCTTCCCCTCTTATGTACCAATCAAACCTTTATACTCATACATGAAAATATTTTTCTTTTTTTAATTTTATGTTTAAATACATTTTTGGTTCATATAGTTTCGTTTGCCTTTTCTTTTTGGCTTTATAGTTTAAAATATTCCTATTTAGTCATTATACATATCATTTATTTCCCTTTTAGTCTCTATCATTTATTTTTCATTAACATTGTTTATGTTGTGATGACATGGAGAAGACCACTTCGGCATGACATTTTTTATGCTTAAATACATTTTTTCAATTTACTTTCTTTTTAGCCCCAATAATTTATTTTACTTCATCTTTTAGTCCTACAGTTTAAAATATCCCATTTTAGTCCTAATACATAACTTTTCCCCCCTTTTAATGTTTGTAATTTATTTTTCATTAGCACCATTTGTGTTATGATGACGTGGTAAAAACTACTTTGAAGTGACACTTTTGATGTGAACTTTTATTTGTTAATGTTACCTTCTATTAAGTTTCATCATCTAACTACGATGACTTTGTGCTTGATTATAAACTCAGGATTGCAATGACCATTGTTGTTCAAAGAATACTTGGGTAGTTTCTTGAAAAGGTAAGTCAAAGACTACTTATGATTAAGCTAAAAGTGGCTTGGGAAAATAATACTTGTAACTTTGTTGAAAGTTAGTGGAACTCAATCTGGTTGGATTAAAAACTAGACGTAGTCTCAGTGATTGAGACGAACTAGTATAAAAATGTCTATTGCTTCATCTGACTCTTCTCCAACACTTTATCTAATAAGCTATTTTATTTTCACTACACAAATGTGTGAGTTTTTGATACACACTATTCAACCCCTTTTCTAGTGCATGTCTTTTCTCCACATAAACTATCTCTTGCATGTCTTATAAACAATTATGATCGAAACCATTGACTATAACTACACAAATGACATGTATGAGGCATGTTTAGAATGAAAGATATTTTTCATCAACAAACCATATCTAAAATGCAACTACAATTGATCAAATGACTAGTAAGGGTATTTCACTAATTGCAAAATTACAATGACTCATGTTCATGTTAATCACAATCTAAACATTTATAGTCTTAAGTTATCGACACCTTCGACTCCAACAATGCCTCTTGCATAAAAAAGAAACAACCAAAGCTTAATAATGGTCATCACGATCTCCAATTTAAAACCACGCCTAAAGCCATTGTAGTTGGAAGATGAAATCCAAGATAAGGTAACTTCAATAAATAAAAAAAATACACATTTAAAATGACATTTCAAAGTAATCTTTACTTGATCATCACTATAAAAAAAATGTTTAAGAAAAGTAAATGATAAAAAAGAAGAAGATATACATAAGACTAAAATTGAATATTTTAAACTATAAAAACTTAAAAACAATTTAAATAAAACCATGCTGTCTAAAAAAAAAAAACTATATAAAACAAAAATATATTTAAATAAATAAATGTCACATCAAAGTGGGACTTATTACTTTATCACATCATAAGCCATGTTAACAATAAATAAACGATAAATATTAAAATAAAAAAATATGTAAAAACTAAAATATTGACATTTTAAACTACATAAATAAAAAAGAAAGTAAATGTTATAAAAAAAAAAATAAGTGAAACTATAATTATAGACAAAAAATGTAAGAATCGAGCTTCCTAAATACATACACACCCAATCAGAAACGAACATCGAGTCCAAATGTTTCCAAACGCCATGTCCACTCTGCTTCACTCCCCTCCCGCTTCTTCCCCTTCCTTCTCTCAGATCACCACTCCTCGCTTCGCTCCTTCGCCTCGCATCTCCCTCCGAAACGGCGTCGTAAGTCGCTCCTCCTCCTCCTTTCGTTTCCTCTCAATTTCCTCTATTTATTCGCTCGCTCCGAAGCGCGTTTCTAACGGCGCCGAGAATCCGCTTTCAGCGTTGCAGGGCCGTGGACGCAGTGAAGCTGGAGAATGGGAGGCCAAGTGCGAGCGAGTTTGTCGTCACCGGAAGCGGAAGCGGAAGCGCTATTCCGAGCTTCGTCGTGGCGCCAAACGCGCGTATTCAGGATTTGGTTAACCGGAACGACACTCGCCTTCGGATATTTTCCGGCACCGCTAATCCGGCGCTCGCTCAGGTCACGCTTCTCAAACGATTCGTTTTGCTGTTGGAAAATTTGGAATAGGAAAGTTAGAGTTCAATTTTTATGGTAGGTTATGTTTGGATATGTGGAGTGTGTAGTAATAGAATAAGGTCATGTTTGGATAAATGTATGTTTTAACGCTTGTTGGAGGAGAAAATAAGGTGGTAGGATGCGTTGAGCTTTTTCGTAAGCCAAAAGTAACTTGTGCAGCCTAGAGTCTTTGTATGCGAGTTTAGAATCGCTTTTGAAAGCTTTTCTACTGGAAAATACTCTTATTTTCGGTGGAGAACCTCTCAAAAGTGCTTCTAGCTTGTATTCAATCAAACTCTTAGGTTTGGTGGATGTTAAATGGAAAGAACTTCTAGAAAATTAGGTGCATTAGTTGATTTTAGCTTATGCCAGAAGCTCGATTCATTTTATCCTTTTGTTTTTTCCTCCATAAGTACGAAATGAAAAATTTATACATACAAAACTTATGAATTTAATTAGAAAAGAGTTTAATTTCTATGTGTTGACAGTATAAGAACTTTTACTTTGTTAATTAATCAGAAATCATGTTAATTATGATTTATAATTATGGTAAAGTCACCAAACTTATCCTACATGATGAGTTTTTATTGGTTGACACTTGACAATGTAAAAATCATGTACATTGTCATAATAGATTTTCTTATATTGGAAATTGCCGACTTCTGTAATAATTAATTTAAAAGTTATATCTAATATGACAGTGTATACATGTCAACTAAAAAGGAAAATGGAAGTTAAACCAAACACCACTCTACTCTTTTCCATTTCCTTTTGTTTTCTATTTTTTTATTTTATCTAAAATGAAAATATTTGTTTAGGTCAGTAATGAATGGGTATGGGTATACCATTCCTTGAATGTAATTTTGTTGTTTATTAATATTTGAAGTCTTATGTTACACACAGATAGTCTTTAATTATTTACTGAAATGTTTGATTTGTATGTATGCAAGTAGGAAATTGCGTGCTACCTGGGCCTGGAGCTAGGAAAAATTAAGATAAAGCGTTTTGCTGATGGTGAGATATATGTTCAGTTGCAAGAGAGTGTCAGGGGCTGTGATGTGTTTCTTGTGCAGCCCACATGCCCTCCTGCGAATGAGAATCTTATGGAGCTTCTCATAATGATTGATGCCTGCAGGAGGGCTTCAGCCAAAAATATTACTGCTGTCATTCCGTATTTTGGATATGCCAGAGCTGATAGAAAGGTCTGTTTGTCAGCCTTCATATGCATAATATATTTATAGTTTGTAATGATATTTTGTCCTTCTCATCCCCCATATTCTTCCCCAGGATTTTGTTTTCAATTGTGTTTTTGTTACTAAGTTACACAAATTCTGATACAGTTATCCATAAACCAGAATGTCTGTTTTCTGAAAACATAGGATACAGTACATGTATGATTGAATAACAATGTAAAAACCAGATGTATTACGTAAGATTCATGTCTGAATCTGCTTAACCTTTAAATATGGCCCATTTTCTTAATTGTTTGTAACATTTTTAATACCAAATTAACAATGACTACTTCCTCCCTTTGCATTAGTTTCTTTATCTTGATTGGTAATAAACTGAAAGCTCAAGTGTTAGATGAAATGCATTTTTGGTATAGTTTATCAATATGGGGAAAATAATTGCTTAGTTTTTAAAAGAACTTTCAGGAACTTGGAAAAAATAAGTAATTATTTCCTTAAAATAAGCTGAACTAGACATATACAAAGGCTAATGAATGACTTCATATCTAACACTTTCCTTTGAGAGTTGATGAGAAAATATGAAAAATATAAACCAGCAATTGTCTCTTTAAGAAAAAGATGAAAAATTTACAAAAATACATTTCGAGCAATATCATGAGTATCTGTATCATACATGCTTATAATATGAATATACTAGTCATTTTGGTGTACCTGTTCATTGTAGTTTTGTTGTAATGATGATATATACGTCATTTGAACAATCACAGCCTTTTTGGAACTGTAAAAGTACAACAGCTGAATTTATAAAATTGTTAGCTCTAAATATGTTACCTGGCATATTTGTATAGTGCTATAGAAAAGTTATTTCACAACTGAGTTTCATGATTAATTGAAAATATCCAACATCCAAATTCAGCTTAGTTTAAACATGGTTTACATCTACTGTTTCAGACTCAAGGGCGTGAATCCATTGCTGCCAAACTTGTAGCAAATTTAATTACAGAAGCAGGTGCAAATCGTGTACTTGCTTGTGACCTCCATTCTGGGCAGTCAATGGGCTATTTTGATATTCCAGTTGATCATGTGTATGGACAGGTAATAGATTATTATATAATTAGCATATAAACAACATTTCATCTATTAAACTCAAACAAACATGCCTTGGATATGCTGCTTATTTGTAATTGATAGTCAGTTCAATAATGTTAATTTATTGTATTGATGCATCTCAATTCTGAATTGAAATGACAATCTTGTGGGGACGGGCCAGTTTTACTGTTTACAATTATATGTACATCAATATTTTATATTTATGTTGTAAAGAAGCTTTATATTTAGTTTTGTTCAGATGTATTGTAACCTATTTTTTTTCAGTCACACATGGACTCTAACAATTTGCATTACCTTATTTTTTTTTTTTTTTTAATAAGCCTTTGAGCTACCTGTTTAGTATCTTTCTGCTTGGTTATATGATGTCATGCTACATAATTTTTGGTATGGAGACCCTTTCATGCAATTTTATTATGTCAAATGATGCACTCGGGGCAGGTTAGATTAAACAAATGTTGGTCTTAATGCTAATGCCTAAATGTAATGGTGATTGTGATTAGTGGCAAAAATGAAAAGTATCTAGCCTGTGCTGCTGTTCAGTTTTTAAGAAAATAGAATGTCTAACTGCAAGATGCATGTTGAAGTCTAAGCTTGGATGGTTCTTGAGACGTGAATTTGTTAATAACTGGGGTTAGCAAATTGATGTTCTTGGAGGATTTCCAGTACTCATGTCATGTGTAGGACTATTTTTGGAAAATATACATAATATAGTATTCGAATTGGTGCCCGTCATTTTCTATAAAAATAGTTGAGATCTCCTAATGATATATTCACATTGTATTGAACTTTATTACTTAGACGAACAATAAGTTTTTATCTTGAAACTGTCAATGAATTTTGGTTCATTGGTTAATCATATATTCTTTTGTGCCACTGCCAGCCTGTTATTCTTGATTACCTTGCCAGCAAGACTATTTGTTCCGACGATTTGGTAGTTGTCTCGCCAGATGTTGGTGGTGTTGCTAGAGCACGAGCTTTTGCAAAAAAATTATCCGATGCTCCTTTAGCTATTGTTGATAAAAGGCGCCATGGGCATAATGTTGCTGAGGTATGATTCTTTGTAAGTTTGAGTTTTTATTCTTAACTACAAAATGCTTCAAATTCTAGCTGATTCAATCCAAGTAGTGTTGACATTCCTTCATTTCCACCCCGAAGCATTTTCAATTTCTCCATGAATTTTATAGAAAAATTTCACGATATGTTGTCATTCTTTGTCGAATACTCGAATCACATGAATAGATTTAGCAATAATGCAATTTAGATGTAACTAAATCATTCTCATGTATTTGGTTAAAAAGTTTAAGTAGAGAATTTATTAATTTTTGCACAAGAGAAGTACTGGTTGAATATTAATTAATTTAATATAACCTAGCTAAAAGTTGGTGGTAGTGAACTATTTTCTAATACTATATCCACATTTATAATCAGAGAATATAATAAATAATTGATTATTTTGAAATTTTGAAATAATGTTTGAAAAATATAGTAGATTTATAACAAATATAGGTTAAATTGCAAATTGTCCACTTCCATTTTGACCAGTTTTTTATGTCGGAATTACAATGACAGCAACATGGTTCGAATCTTGTACTCTGCACATACTACCCCAACCTCCTATCTTTTCAATTCTGGTCATTTTGACCGTTTCTTTTCAATTCTGACAATTACCCTATTAGATATTCAATACCTGGAAAGTTACTCCCTGTAGTTTCAAATAGTTTGTGTGGTTAATTGCAAAAAATTGAATGCATAGGGGGTATTTTCCATATGTTGAAGACTTTCAGTTACTTAACTGCTCGAAGTAAAACCACAACAGTTATGTGGGTTAATTTCCAAATTTGAAACCACGGGCTATTTGCTAACAGTTCAAAGATACAGTTAATTAGCAATTTGTCCATATGTGCGTGTGTATGTTTGTATGTATATACTGATGATGTGTATCAGTTGAGAGTGTGAGAGGAGTAAATCTTAGCCACACATTTAAAATGGATGGTTAAGATTAGATTTAGCTAGAATAATCTGAACCATATCTGTATGTTTGTATGACCAAGATTAACTCCTCATGCTTTCACTAGATATGCCCCCCAATGTGTGTTTGCTAGAGAAATAAGGTATCTTGGAAGTTGCAGCCACTTACCCTGCATCTCTTGTGCGTTTGTGTTCTGGTAACCTCTGCTTGGAAGTTTTATACACACCCGGACACCCCTATTTTTAGGCAGTTGGTTTTGAATAACCAAATCAAGTATGGTTCACTGGTTTGTCCTGACTTGAGCAGTATGGGACAGTTCAATCCAGTCTGATCATCATAATGGTTCTGCTGTAAGATCCATAACAGTAACCAGGGCTGTTTGTGTTATAAAATAATACCCAAGACCTGTGAGGGGTGACCACCAACCAATGTTGTTCCCTTAAAATTGACGATAAATTATAAGCACCTTTTTGGCTTTGTGATTTGGTGAATCTCATCGTGCAGGTGATGAATTTGATAGGTGATGTAAGGGGAAAGGTAGCAGTTATGGTAGATGACATGATTGATACTGCTGGTAAGTTTGTTTCAAACTCCTGATGTTCTAGTGCAATAATGATAGTTTGTCTCTGACCCTATAATCACTTTGACTAGTCCCTCAAGACTAGTGCAATTGCTTTTCCTCCCTCCCTCCCTTCCTCTCATTACATTCTTTCCGAAAAAATGGAGTAATTTTTTTTTCTTGGTAAATGGTATATTGGTATGTAACCCGAAGTCATAATTCATGCTGTAGAGAAACTGTATCATTATGATTAACAACAATAATCTCTATTTGTCATTTTGTCTTGAGTTTCAATCACTTCAAATCAAGATATGTGCTTTACGTGAATACACTTACACTTCCTATTTACTTTGTTCCTTTTATTGGTCTTTTAAAGTTGTAGTACTTGTTTATATTAAAATTATTTTCAACTTCTTAATATATTATTTATCTCATTATTAATTAAACTTCGACATTCCCGCTACTATTCTTTCTCTCTCATTTAAGAATTAGGTGAAGACAAGGGTATTGTTGATAAGTTAGTAATTAATGCTTTCTTGAATTTTTTGAAGGATAGACATATATCAACTTCCCCTGCCCCAAAATGATAGATAAAAGGAATGGCGATACTATATGTTTAGCCTGATGAACTGGGAACTGTTTTTGAGCCCTTTTCTGTAAAACTGACTTGTAACAAAAGGGCACATACAATTTGATTTTTATTTATTTATTTATTTTTTTTGCAAATTCAAGTCAAATAAGTCCTTATTCTCTGCTAATTACTTGCCTTGCTTGTTGTCTTGTTGGAGGACATTTTCTAAAATAGATATATTGGTATCTATTGATGTTGCTTTGTGTTTAGACATTGGTGCATGTGAGCAATACTTGAATTTATGACTTGCTTGGGAATTAATGAAAAACTTGAATAGAGTTGTCATTCTGATTTGTTATGGACCTGTGCAGTTTCTGTACTCAAGATAAGTTCCTTATGCTATTTTGAAGGATGAAAGGTCTTATTGTTTGTACCCTTATTTGTACTTTCCTATTTTGTCTTGGTAGAAGTTATTTTCAGTAAAAACAAATGGTTGCAGAGAACCGTGGAGGTAATTGAAATCATCTAGTGCTTGAATTTTTACATTCTAACTTAATATTGTCAATTTTGGAGGGATAAACACAACAGTGAATTCCTTCTCAGGAATGTTGAACCTGTGCTACCTCTATTCTAAAATGACATTATCATGGTTGGAGTTAAAATGGGAGTCCAAATTCAGTTGTATTTGCTGCTGTGTCATTCTTTTTTTATTTATCATTCCTTGACATGGCAACTATCCATCTATTGACCAAGTGGTCAACATTTTGATCTTTGCTCATATCTTCACATTTAATTAGATTATAACACAATTATTCTTGGCCTGTGCTTAAAGTAGAGTGCAATTAGCTTTTGCTTGAGCGGGCATCTTAGAGATGAAAAACCATTTAATGGTTCTGTACCTAACACCTTAAACTTGAAATAGAGTTTTCCTTGCAGTATACCTAACCAGTCTATTCCTTCATTGTATGATTGTAATTGTTTTAACTAAAATTTTGTGCCACAAGGGATAGCTTACACTGTTAAGAGTCTTGCTTATGTGAATTCTTTGTCTTACTTCAGCATCTATGACTGGCTAAGTCTTATCAATTATCCTCAACAAAATTTTACTGTCTTATAGGGACTATTGCCAAAGGTGCAGCTCTTTTGCATCAAGAAGGGGCAAGAGAAGTCTATGCATGCTCTACACATGCTGTTTTCAGGTATAATGGCTGCAATATAATTATAAATCACTTATTTCAAGTTATGGCTTTCACCAAACACTTTTATGGTGACATTTTGTGGTGAATTTGCAACTAGGACCAATTATCATATGATTGTCCTCCTTGAGGTTTTGATTGAGTTCTTTGTTCATTATTTTGACATAAAAGGGGGAGAGGGGGAATCAGTCAGCACAAGCTGTTTTCAACATCTTTGTGCAAAAGATACTTGTGCACTGATAGATACCGGGTGTTTATCGTAAAAAGATTGAACGAGTGAAGAAAAAATTATTTCTTCTCTTAAGGAGGTTGTGCTGCTCATTCAGCCTTATGATTTTTCTTTATATTTGACTCTCTTGGACTCATGTGACATGTGATTCACTAGTTGATGAAAATATAGTGAACATAGAAAATATAGTGAGGTGAGGATTGCTCTCCATACATTATTATGGCAAGCAGAGTAGTTGATATGAGATCTCCAATACACCCCTTCGCAAGAGGAAAATATAAAAAATATAGTGAACCACATGAGTCCTTATATAGTGAAAATATAGTGAACCACATGAGTCCTTATATAGTGAAAATATAGTGAACCTTTATCATGTACTTCATAAAAACTAAGATTTTTCTTTGTCACCTATTTATCATTTTTATCATATGGTTCATACCAACTTTCTTTACCACATGGTTCATAAAAGCTTATCGTAAAAAACTTATGATTTTTCTTTTTATTTCTTAAGAAAGGTTTGAGCCTAAATTAACCTTACAAAACCAACTTGAAAGGTGAGGATTGCTCTCCATGCATTATTATGGCAATCTCACTAATTGATGTGAGATATCTAACACACCTCTTTCATGCTGAGGATTGGATATTTTGAGCTTGAAGTTGTCTATGTGAGAGATCAAAGATCTACAATGCACCTCCCTTAACAATAATCACTAGGACTAGACACTTGAGTATGGTTCGATAGTGGCCCGATAGTAGGTGACACAATAAATCTAACAATAATCACTGGGATAGATTCTGATACCATTTTAAGAAAATGAGTTTGAGCCTAATTCACCTTTACAAAATTGGTTTGTAAAGTGAGGATTGTTCTTCACTTATATATGTTATTATGATTATCTCATTAGTCAAAGTAAGACCTCCAACACACCTGTTTGACGCTGAGGACTAGACATTTCAAGCGTGAAGTTATCTATGTGTGATCTCCAACCAATATGATTGAAAAGATTATGGGTGGCACTGGTTTGGGATGCGAAGTGATCATTTGGTTATTTGGGAGTCCTATTGTAAGCCTAAACAATGTGTTCTGGTTCTTGGACTTGGAAACTTGATAGCACAATAATTATTATATTTTTCTCCGTTCTGAATTTCTCTCAGGCATCAAGCTAAGAGCACTTGAGCAATATGATATTCTTTAGAATGGATTCAATGACAGCTGCAGCTAATTCAACTCACTCTAATTGATGGATATTTATTTTGCTGGCAGTATACTATTCAAGGAATATTGGAATTTTAGAAGTCAAAATTTTACCTTCCCCTTCCCTATCCCTCTAAATCCCAACTCCCTAGAGAATTAAGGAATGGGTTTGAAGTTGGTTGTCTCACTTTATTTGGTCAACAAATGTTACTTTCTCTTGATATGTAACTGTTCATCGTGTCAAAGTTGGTACTAAAGTACTTTCAATTTCCATAGCACTCCTTGCATCAATCTTAATTTTTACATTGGTCAGCTGCAGCAGCATAGTTGCAATTGGAGCCTGCCAGTTGGATTAGTTATTAGTGATTGATAATGGGTTATTTAGCTAAGACTCTAACAATGGAAAAGTACCCATGTTGGACACTGGTTCTCCTGTATCTGATAAGTATCCATTTTTCTCTTTTTGTTTGTTTGTAGGATACGGGTCATGGTAGCCAAACTTGATTTGAGTTCTGACAAAGATGCGTCTATTGATATAGATAAACCAAGACTGGTTACGAAATGGGCAGAAACTTCACTTTTTTTTTATTTTTTTATTTTTATGATAACAATAGTCTTTTTGTAAATTGTGATCATCATAGTTATGAATTAATAAGAAATGATCAGTGTTTCTTTCTTTACCAATATTCTGCATGTATATAATTTTTTCCACAAAATTTTGTTAACATATCCGGAAGATATAGTATCCTATATTTCAGAAAGTTGCCCCGTAACCATCCATGTCATATTGTACCTATACTAAGTAACCGAGCTTCACAGCTATTCAGTCAGTAATAATAAGTAGGGAAGAGGTTTATGCTTTACATTGTTCTGCTTTAATGATAATTGGTATATTTGGGATGATGATGCCTGTTTTGTCTACTTGATTTCAGCCCCATTTCTTTCCCTGCTCCCACATGAACCCCAAAACACCTACTTTTTTCTCCTTTTTGTGATATTATTATCTGGGAGCCGTGTTTTGACACTTTGCACAACTTTTCTTCCTTTAGCAAAAGGAGAGTGCGGGGAGATTTGAAAACTGTAGAAGTTTTTTTGCTTCTTATTTTTGTAATGGTGTGGGAGCCTCATCTTTTCTTTTCTGGCCTCCGTAACTCCCTCCCACCATAAGGATTTTGCATTTATAAAGATAGAAAAGATTTTCAATGTTTGTTCTCTTCTTTTCCTGTGACATTGATGGATATATTAAAGTATGTATTGGAATTATGGCGAATAGTAGAAATGTACAAATTATGTCTTCTAATGCAGAGCCATTTTACTCATGACTTGAGCAATTGTTCTTGACTTTGCAGTCCTCCTGCTATTGAGAGGTTGTCAAGTGGTTTGTTCCAAGAAGTTATCATAACTAATACGATTCCAGTGGCAGAACAGAACTATTTTCCCCAATTAACTGTCCTATCAGTGGCAAACCTTCTGGGCGAGACTGTATGGCGTGTTCATGATGATTGCTCAGTGAGTAGCATATTTCTGTAAAAATAATTTAGTTTGTTATTTCTCATTCATTGATAGAGAAAACGAGACCACCCTCAAATACTCATACACATGCATGCTTCCGTACACATGCATCTATTTTTAAAAAATAAAATAATATAAAATAAATAAATAAATAAATTTGATGTTGTAAATAATTTTCCTTTCCCGTTCTCATCACTAGCTTGTATTGATAATCGCATATCTGGTGGTTAAATTGATTTCTATACATAGAGTAGAATGTTGGCCTTTGCTCTTAAACAAAATTTCAGTTAAGCTAGATTTTTTTTTCCTCGTTTTCTATGGGAGTGGTGAGAAAAATAGATTTATCTTGCAAACTTTTTCTCTTTTCTTCTTTTATCTTCTTTCTCAGGGTGGAATTGAGCCTTATTCAAGTTTGGGCATTGATTGAACAATTTGTATCATTGGTATGCTCGTTCCAGCTTGTGACACTGCGGTAACAAGCGGCAGAATTGTAGAGTTTACCTTATAGTGAAAGCTATTGTTTAAGGATACCATATAGAGAACTGTTTCAGCAGATTTTTGTACGTACAAAATACATTATAGGTATTAGAAATCCAGTAGAAGTCGCGTGGCCTTGAGTGCATATTTTTCTGTCAAAATGGTGAACATTAATGGTATTGAAATGTGTGCCTAAGTTATTCTCAGACATTTAATTCCTTTTCCTTGTGTATTCAATTCAACATTAAGCCAACTCAACCATGTATATTTAATTATGCCCACTTTTAATCTTATGCTCTTTAAACAAACTAAAGTAAACTCTTATAGATTATGATGATGCAAAGGATAAACTTCTGTGTGAACCTCCGTGTTTCTTCGTTTCTCTCTTTAAATGGACAGGCCTTTGGAATGAAGAGTTGTTTCTGGGAACTGAGTGGGGTCGATACAAATGCTTAGTAAAATGTAAATGTTAACTGTTTCAAGAGCTCGCTGATCCAGTATCTCGGTCAGATTTTTTATTTTAAATATTTTTTTTTTAATTTGTATATAATAATCTAATATGGTTTTATTCGATGCTAAAATGTTTATCGGCAGGTTACGTAACTTAACGTTGCAAAGGAGAGTTGAAAGGATTTAATTAATGGAAAAAATTAGATTAGTTAACTGCCCAACGTGGTATCAATATCTCTGGTTTTAAACCATAAAAAAGGGACCTTTCTGCTTTCTACTATGGACAATGAGGGGAGTTCCAAAACCAATGTGTGAAAAGCTATTTGAAAATATATTTTTTATTCTACTTTTATTTTTATTTTCATCAATAATTATAACATTCTTATTTTATTTTCACTCTGCATCTTTTTGTTAAATATTTTATGAAAATAATTAAAATAGCCTTTATTATTATTTTTATTATTAAGTTAAAAGACTCATTTTGACTTATTGATAGCGCTAATATAAATTATGATTTATGACTGTGATCTCCTTACAGAACACAACAAAATTGATATTTTTAAAGTCAAGAAAGTTAAAAACAAAGGAATTATTGGTATTAAAAACTATTTAGGGTTTTAAATTAATATTTAGTGTTTCATATGTTCATGAAATTAATCAAAATCTTTTAAGTATTGCTTAGTTGTTGGAAAATGACCATAAGGTATTGCTTGAAGATCAAAATTAGATTTAAATATGTTTTTAGTCTTTTAAATTTAAGATAAATTTATTTTTAGTTTCTCAAATTTAAAATTGATCTTTTTAGTCCTTGTAATTTCAAAACATCTTGTTTTAGTTTTTATATTCAAATTTTGTTAAAAAATTTGTCAAATATTACATGAATTTTATCTATTGGTGTCCCTGATAGTAAAAATTTCACACTTAACCTAGCTAACTGTACATAACTGTCTTAATATGTCATTTTTAAATATATTATTAGTGACCTGAGTGACTAAAATAAAATTTTTAAAAATTAAAGGGGCTAAAAATTATAATTTTAAATTTGAAGCAAAAAAAAGAAAATTATCTTAAATTAGAGGGACTAAAAATATACATAAACTTAAAAATTAAGTAGTTAAAGTTACAAAAATGCATAAGCGATCAAAGTTTAGATGAAAGGCAAAAGTTCTACTTTATATTTAATTGAAGAACCAACTATATCACAAAGGTGCGTGTGTTTTGAATAAGCTAGGTGCTCAACAGGAGAATAAAGATGATGAAGAACTACCTTCAAAGAAAAAACTCAAGTCAAATAATTAGACAATCTCACTCAATAGACCGTGACAGGAATTATAAACAAAATAATAAAGAAATCAAACATAAAAACACAGACCATATTTCAATTAAAATTCAAATTAGGTGATAGATATTAAATTAAGGAGGACTGTTGAGAATATGTTTAAATATCTTTAGCTACAAAAAGGAATAAAATTGTTTATTTTGGAAATATGTTATTTATATTTCAAATATTTAGATTTACATATATTAACTATTTGTTTTGATTATTTTAGAATTTTTTTTAAGAATAGGATGCTATCAATAATTGAATTTTTGTATTATGTTTTTTACTTTATATATTTAGGCTCATGAATTAAAATATATCAAGCTATTGAAAAATATCTCCCTACAAAATAAAAAATAAAAAATTAAAAAGAAAACCAACACGACCAATCTTTGTTCTTCTTAATGCTTGTTCAAGTTGTAAGAAAATAAGGTTTTCTTCTTGATGCTTGTTTAAGTTGTGAGATAATAAATAAGGTGAGAGCTAGGAAATTGCATTATTAAACAAAAAAGTCAACCCAAATTCCAAACCCATTGATAAAATTCTAATTCTATTATATGGCCAAGGGCATTTAAAGGGCACTTTCTTAGCAGATTCTAGGGAAATGATCATTACAGTTTACTACTCATAACTAAATACATATGAACTACACATGTTAAATACCCCTATGTTTCATCACATTCTCTGAAAAATATTTTCATTCTGGATTTGTAGATGGTCTTTCACTTCTCTCCCACTTTACTTTTTCATGCTCAAAACTGGTGCCTACGTCTCATCATCACATATCTAATGAAGAGTCACTTGAACATTTCCCTTTTTGCTGTGGAAAAGTACAACAGTGCTATCTCACATGGAGCCTGGAACCCCTTATATGTATCCTTGGTGGTTTTATTGAAGCTTTGGCTTGAATAGTTTGGACGGAGCATCTGTGTCCCAAGAAGTTTCTCTCCATAAGTCTCATGATTGTTCCCTGCTTTGGACATGTTGAGTTGCCAAGGTGTTGAAGTTATGTGATCTTCCAGAATACTCCTTTATAAGTTTGAAGAAGAAGGATTCTTCTCTCTCAAGTAACTTTGATGGTTCATCATACTCGGCAATTCTCCCTGTAACATAAGATTGTGTTATGCAACTTTCTTGGAAGCCTTACATATCAAATTTCTTGTTCCATTGTCATGGTTGCACTTTTGTCATTACGTGTATTGGTGTTTTTGTGCAACTGTTAATGATGTGTTTGTGACTTTGTTTGGATGTGGAGTATTCATTAAGGCCTTAAATACACATACATATAGAGTTTAGAAGTGCTTTTATAAGTTTCTCTACTGAAAATAAAGAGCATTTTTCAGTAGAAAAATTCTTAAAAACACTTTTCAACTTATATCTAAACAAACTCATATATATTGATATACATATTTACATATATACATACATATACATATACGTACCATCACTGAGCACTAAAACCAAATCACTATCAATAACTGTGTGGATTCTATGAGCTATTGTGACAACAGTCCTATCTTTGAACTCATGACTTATGATGTTCTGTATCACCCCATCAGTTGCGGAATCCACTGAGGCTGTTGCTTCATCTAGTACTAATATGCTGCTTCTTTTCAGCAGGGCTCTTCCAAGGCAAAATAATTGCCTTTGGCCCACACTCCAGTTATCACCATTTTCAACCACTGAAAAAAAAAACATTTAAGTCAGTTTAGTAATGATTGCTAACTCAAGCATGATCAAAATGTGCAAGTACAAAGCTGATGAATTCAACCTGGAGAATCCAACTTCTCTTCCTTGGCCCTCACCAGGTGACCTAGCTGACATTTATCTAGAGCCTGAAAATGAAAAAAAAGAAGAAAAAAATAGATATCTGGTAAATGGTGATAATCTCTCAGAAAAAATTCACACTTCATTTTGGCCGTGTATGAAAAAGAATCTACATTTCAGTCCTACAACACACCCTTTTAACTTTGGATCTTACATGTAAAATTCTCTTAAACCATTAGTGAGAACTGATTGTATATATATATATATATATCTATCTATCTATATATATATATATATATATATTTTTTCATGGAGGACTTAAATGTAGTGTTTTAATTTTTATGTATGGGGACTGAAACAAAAAAGTGTCTAGTGTAGGAATACACTTTTTACTTGTAATATTTTTTATGTTAAGAAAGTCTTGCTTATATGAAATTGTATTGTATGAAATCGGTGAATTTATTTATTTTTGGTTACTCTTGATGAGTGGATATTTTTAACTGTGCTTATAATGATAGAGACACTTTGGTATCCATTTTCATGTTCTTGATCTAACTATTTGATTAAAACATTTACCTCCCACACTTCAGTGTCAGAGTATTGCTGTAGAGGGTCCAGGTTTCCTCTAACAGTGCCTTCAAACAATGCAGGGTCTTGTGGGATAATGCTAAGCCTTGACCTCAAGTCATGGAGACCTATCTTGCATATGTCCACATTGTCAATTATAATGCTTCCTTCTCTTGGTTCAACCATCCTGAAAATGGCTTGTATGAGAGTTGATTTTCCACTCCCTGTGCGCCCTACAACTCCAACTTTCTTCCTTCCAGGAAATGTGCAAGTGATGTTTTTCAACACAGATGGTAGATGTTCAGCATAACGTATCTGTATATAGTAGAATATAAGTAAGGAAAAACTTCTGGACAATAGAAACCAATAGTAATTGAATGAAATATGTTATTTTATGCATGTGTGTTTATACATATAATAGCATATTTCTTATATGTGTGAACATCTATGAAGCACTGACTGTGACCCGGATACCAGACACAACGTGGACATGGCCAATGTCCAAAATGTTAGAAACAATATAATATATAAGCTTTACAATTTTTATATGATAATAACTCTATGAAGAAGAACCATACCTTTAAAAGTTAAAACGAGTAATTCTTATGAAATTGAGCTTCATGCCAAATAAAATAAATGTTAGGAGCCTTTCAATATTTATAAATAAGTTTACTTTTTAATTTTTTATATACTAGAAGTGCTAAATAAGTGTTTTAGCTATGAACAGGTGTAGACTCATTTACTTGACTCTTGCCGAAAAGTTGTTAAAGTTGTGTCGAAGAGGTGTCCGAACAAAAAATATAAATTTTAATTGTGACATGGTGGAAAGGTGTCGGATGTGTGTTAAGAAGTCTGACAATTGTGTCCAAAACCTGTCAGACAAGCCGACACGGAGTTATATAAATATGTTAGTGGTTGATAAGTGAACACACATATAGGAACATGTCTGTTCATATGTGCTAAATTTTTGCTATCTTGAACCTGCAAATTTTTGAAACATATCGTTCCCGTTTGTGGCCAGTTGCTTGGTGGTCTGCAGTCTTCAATCACTTGAGGTGCTTCACTTGCTATATTTGTATACTGAAGAATTCTTTCAACTGATATCATCTTGTTTTCTGCATTGCATATGTTCCATATAACTGAAGCTTGCAACACATTTAGATTGATTCCGTATGT